GGAAATAGGTACATTATTGTCTATACCATCTCGTTTGAGTTTATTGTAATTTTATGTGTTTTGATTGATTTTTATTTTTTGTTGTGTAGATATAATATTATGACGTCAAACATCGCGGAGTCGGTGAATTCTATGTTTGATGTTGAAAGAGAATTTCTCATTATCGCTCTATTTGATGAAATAAACAGGAGATTTGCACTTTTAGTTCAGCAGAGGCGTATGGAGTTGGTGAATTCTGCAAATAGATTTGTTCCTTCAATTGAAAAAGACATATCAAAGTATGTCAACGCGGGCAACAAGTTGTTGGCTCATCAAATTGCTAACTACAAGTTCAGTGTCACTGGTCATGGTGATGTTGTTACGGTGGATCTACAAAGAATGAAAAAGACATATCAAAGTATGTCAACGCGGGCAACATGTTGTTGAATCATCAAATCGCTAACTACAAGTTCAGTGTCACTGGTCATGGTGATGTTGTTACGGTGGATCTACAAAGAAGAACTTGTACTTGTAGAGTTTTTGACTTGGACAAAATACCTTGTCCACATGCCATGGCAGCGCTTCGACCCCCAATATGGTGCCGATTTGGAAATCAGATTTATGAGTACTCCTCTCCATATTATTCAGTGGAAAAATACATAATGGCATATTGTGAGGAAATTCACCCGGTGCCACCTGAAGATTCTTGGGATTGTCCCTTTGGATGTCATAGAGAGAGAAATACCTCCTCCATATGTTGATCAAAAGCAAAACCTGGAAGAAGGAGATATAAGAGACGGCGTGGAGTTGGTGAATCCTTTCCAACAAGGAAAAATAAGTGTTCCGTATGTAGGGACTTTGGCCACAAAAGAACTACATACCCAAATCGAAATGCTCCATAAGTGTTGTTGATTTTTTTCTTATTCCTTATCCGATGTTCGTTAGAGTATGACCACTTGAAAGGAGTATGCCAGAAGGTGTTAGGGAGGAAGGTTGGTTGTTATGCCAACTACGGCTATGTGACTTGGTAGATGTGAGATGAAAGATTTTGATGTTGACTTTAGTGTGAATGGGTTGATTTATGGTTATGTGTGATGTTGGTACAAGGTTATGATGAGTTTTGAGGTACATAAGTGTTGTTGAATTTTGAGGTACATAAGTGTTATGATGAGTTTTGAGGTACATAAATAACGCATTTGTTTCAACATATATTAATTATGTGTTAGATCTTACAACATAATATTGCATATGCAACAAGATATGTCAATTATGTGTTACAAGTACTATAGAAAATGCATATGTTCCAATATATTTCTAATAAATAATTACGTGTAAGGTGTGTGAACCATCAATCAATAATTACTGTCATTGGAACAACTTTCAAGAAAAAAATTAATTACAACTCTTCATATTTTACCCTTTTTTCCAAAAAAAATAAGTACTTTCATTTGAAGAGTCAAAAGTTGTGTCTCTTCTCTTCTGTTCGTCTTCAGAAGTTGCAACTGCTCAAACATTTCATTTTCCTGGCACTATATAAGAAATCTTAAAAGAATAAGAAATCTTCAAAAATGAGTATGAGTAAAAAAAACTACATTGAATATCTTCCGAGGGAACTACTAATTGATATCGTTGAAAGGATTGCTTCCTACTCCCTTAAAGATTTAATGAGGGTTAAACTAAGGTATGTATTTATTAAACAATTTTCGCTCTTTAATTTGATTTCCTAACCATTTGATTTGATTTCTCAGTTCCAGGGTCCTCAATGAAGTCGCTAATGAACCTTCTGTGTATCAAAATGTAACATTGGTCAGCATTCCTTATCGTAGATGGTCGATAGTTCAAGAAGCCATTTCTTTCCTGGAATTGTGCAGAGTATCGGGCAATTTAGAAGCCTTATACAGAAAAGACGTGGTAGTTTTTTATGTTTATCGTATGTATTCACATTTTTATCAATGTATTTTGCCTTTTAAATGTGTTATTTCTTTTGTAGTTTGATTTTTTCAATCGTAACGATCCAACTGCATTGGGAATGATTAATCAAGCAGCAGATGGTGACCACATTGGTGCATCCTATGTGCTTGCCGTAATTTCAATCTTCAATGGTGGTGAATCCATGAGAGAATGTTTAATGTTCATTGCCAACATGTAAAAAACAGAGCCACTAAAAGTCAGAAGATGTCGACATAATTTGTGAAATATTTTAGGTGGAATGTGGGTGCGAGAACCTCATTTGTTGGGAGGAAGACCCATTTGTTGCACTGTTCATCAATTTGAGCAAATCAAACGCATGAATGGTTGGCCCATGGGAAGCGACAATGAAGATGATATTCGTTGTGATTTATGTAGTTGTGATTTAGAACTAGATTATGTAATTAAATTTCTGCCTTATACCACTGTGTGGTATTAATTAATTTGCCATCTGTGGCAACATATGTACATAACTTGCAAACCAAATTCATGGTGAAAAAGGTTGCCCTTTTGTGTTTTGTACTTATTTTTAAATTTGTTCTTTATAAAATGTTTAATCCAATTTTTTTTTTCCATAGTGTTCTCATTTTGACCATACTTGAAATGTCATCTGTGGCAACATATGTACGTTCTGTGGTATAAAATGTTGTATTTAATAGTTTAAACTTCAACAAATATGTCATATGTGGCAACATGTGTATATCCTAAAATGTGCTTTTTGGGGATAATTCAATTGAATTACAGTCTAATATAACAACCTCCTTCATTAATTACAACTCTTCATATTTTACCCCTTTTTCAAAAAAATTAAGTACTTGCATTTGAAAAGTCAAAAGTGCCTCTTCGTCTTTAGAAGTTGCGACTTTTCACATTCATTACATTGGGATTATATTATATAAGAAGAATACAACAATAGAAGGTCCTTTCATTTAATTTTCTCCAAGATGGGAAGGAGAATAAGAAATCTTCAAAAATGACTATGAGTAAAAAAAACTACATTGAATTCCTTCCGAGGGAACTACTAATTGATATCGTTTAAAGGATTTCTTCCTACTCCCTCAAAGATTTAATGAAGGTTAAATTAAGGTATGTATGTATTAAACAATTTTCGCTCTTTAATTTGATTTCCTAACTATTTGATTTGATTTCTCAGTTCCAGGGTCCTCAATGAAGTCGCTAATGAACCTTCTGTATATCAGAATGTAATATTGCTCAGCATTCCTGTATTCATATGGCCGTGTTCAGTTGTTCGAAGATGCACTTCTTTCCTGGAAAATGTGTAGAGCATCGGAGAATTTAGAAGCCTTATACAGAAAAGGTCGTGGTTAATTTTTTAATGTTTTTTCGAATGTATTTCACGTTTTTTATCAATGTATTTTGCATTTTAATGTGTTATTTTTTCTGTAGTATGATTTTTTCAAACGTAGCGATTCAAATGGATTGGGAATTCTTAGTCAAGGAGCAGACGATGGCCACATTGGTGCATCCTATGTGCTTGCCATAATTTCAATCTTCAATGGCGGTGAATCCGTGAGAGAAGGCATAATGTTCATTGCCAACATGACTCCACTAAAACGCAGAAGATGTCGAGAGAAGTTGCTATATACTTTATATGGATGGGTGCCAGAACCTCATTTGTTGGGAGAAAGACCAATTTGTTGCACTGTTCAAAGCCTCCACTTTCGTTGTGAATTATCTAGGTGTGATTTAGAAATTGATGAAGTAGTTAAATTTCTGTATTAATTAAATTTTCATGTGGCAACATATGCACATTGTGTTTTTGAATTTGTTCTTTATAAAATGTTTAATCTAAAAAAATTGACATTTTCCCATTCCTAAATTGCTCAATTTATCGATTAACTGATCCTTGAAGTGTCATATGTGGCAACATATACACGTTCTGTTTGATAAATCACAACAGACATGTAATATGTGGCAACAAGTGTATATCGTAAAAGGGTCTTTTTGGGGTTAATTCAATTAAATTGTCACCTAATTCAACATGTAATACTAATATATAGTCCTACAACATGTCTAAGTATAAAATTATGGTCTAATACAATAACCTTCATTCAATTCTATCAATTATTTTTACAAAGACTATCATCTCACTAGTTCATCATACAATGACCAATTATTTTTACCCAAATTCTTAAGTTTTTGCTGCATGATCCACATAGGGTTACCCTTAACATGGATTCCCCATTCCTTTTCCACCACATCATAAATCAGGTTGATCGATCCAGAAATTCAAGAATCTAAAGTATCTGATAGGTTCTTGTTGGTTGTCAAAACATTTCACCAATAAAGGGTTGATTTTCTTTCAAAAAACAATAAATAATAGGTACCATTACACCATTATTCAATTTTCACATCTATAGAACAATTTATTGTTCATTAACCCAAGAAAAAAACTTAGTATTGTTCGAAAATTGTAAAATCTTTCAAAAAAATGACTTACCCATTTTAAGTCGAACACAATCTTCAGTCCACAAAGAGGAGAGAGTCACGACCGGAGATGAGGAGGAAGATAAGATAATGGGGGAGAATACTTGTTTTGATAGTCGGATTTTTGGATTTTCTAAGGAAGAAGAAGAAGAGAAGAGAGAACGTTGGGAGAAGAAGAAGAGAAAATTCTATTTTCTTTTACATTTTTTTTTAAAAATGATTTGGATAGAATTATAAAAGTTGAAAAATGAAGTGTTTTTTTTTATATTTTATAAAAGATTAGAAAACTTTGGAAATGTTAATTTGGTCCCAGATTTACTTAATTACATTTTAAAGTGGATTTGAGCCTTTCTTGATGAAAGTGTCACCAAAAATCAAAGCAAGAATTAATTGATACCTTTTATTTAATTGTCTCTGGAAAGGTAGAATATCACAAAAAAGTTAGCGGCAAAATTAGGGGCATACCGAAATCACAGTAAAGAAGAAGAAACGTTCACTGATCTATTAAAGATGAAGGGAATTTCTCTCCGAAATGGCAATGGTATTCCTTTCATCTCTTTATTTCCTACTTCAGATTCTTGTTTTTCGCCAATTATAGTCAGAGTTTATAGTAATAAATCCATGTCGGTACTGAGTAAATTTAGGGCAAATAGCAATTTTGAGTGTTTAGATGATGCTCTGATTCTCTTTAAGCAAATGGTTACAATGAAGCCTCTTCCTTCTCTTGTCGATTTTTCTAAATTATTTAAGACTATAATAAATATGAAGCATTATTCTGCTGTCCTTTCTCTTTTTCGAGAAATGCAGAAATTGGGTATCCCAATTAATGGAGTCATCTTGAATAGTGTGATTAACAGTTATTCCCTCATGCATCGTGCTGATTGTGGGTTTTCGGTGTTACCAATTTACTTGAAGAATGGTATTTCATTTGATGTGGTCACCTTTACTGCCTTAATTAGGGGATTTTTCGCTGAAAATAAGGTCAAAGATGCCGTTGAATTGTTCAAAAAATTGGTGCGAGAAAAGATTTGTGAACCTGATGAAGTCATGTATGCAACCATCATGAATGGGCTTAGTAAAAGAGGTCATACGGAGAAAACTTTAAGTTTGCTCCGGTTAATGGAACAAGGGAACACTAAACCTGACATATTCATCTACGCCATTGTTGTTGATGCGCTTTGCAAAGATAGAAACTTAGATGGTGCTATAAGTCTTCTGAACGAAATGAAGCAGAAAGGCATTCCTCCAGACATAGTCACGTATAGTTCATTGATTGATGGTTTGTGTAAGCTTGGTCAATGGGAAAAGGTTAGGATTTTGTTCTCTGAGATGGTGAACCTTAATATTTATCCAAATGTGCGCACCTTCACTATACTAACAGATGGACTATGCAAAGAAGGGAAAGTAGAAGACGCTGAGGAAGTAATGAGACAAATGGTCCGAAAAGGTGTAGAACCTAATATAATTATATACACTGCGATAATGGACGGCTATTGTTTGCGTGGTGAACTGGATAGAGCGAGGAGAGTTTTTGATTTCATGATAGATAAGAAAATTGAACCTGACATTATTTGCTATAGTGTACTGATAAATGGATACTGTAAAGTAAAACAATTGGCCAAGGCCATGCAATTGTTTCATGAAATTTCTCAAAAGGGATCAAAACCTGATATTTTTACCTACAATATCCTCTTGCAAGGTCTGTTTGAAGCTGGAAAAATTGGCTCTGCAAAAGAATTCTTTGCTGAGATGCTAACAACGGGGCTCGTACCTGATTTATACACTCTCTGCACTTTGCTCAATGGTTATTTTAAATATGGACTTGTTGAAGAAGCTATGTCATTCTTTAATAAGTTGGAAAGAGAGATAGAATATAATAGTATTGAATTTTACAATGTTGTCATTAATGGATTGTGCAAAAATGGTGAACTCGACAAAGCTCGTGTGATATTTGAGAAGCTTTCTTTAATTGGAATGCTTCCGAATGTGAGAACATACACTATAATGATAAATGGATTTAGTCTTGAAGGGTTTTTGGATGAAGCTAAAGATATGCTTAGGAAAATGGAGGACAATGGTTGTATGCCAAACAATGTTACATACAATGTTTTTGTACGAGGAAACCTAAGGTGCAACAAAATTAATGAAATGGCAATTTTTATGAAGGAAATGGTTAGAAAGGGCTTCTCATGTGATGCAGATACAACCGAGTTACTGGTAAACGTTATAAGGGAGAATCCTTCTGTCCTTGACATGATACCTGAGTTTCGATCTGAATATAAGAAGTGAATATTTCTTTCTCTTGCTTTATTTGGCTTTACATTCACAATGAGAAGTGGCGTCCATGCAATTACGGAAGATAAAAAAATGGCAATTAGAACATCACTTGAGCTTTCCAGGCATGCTTAAGGCTTACAGAGGAGGTACATCACTTTTGATATTTCAATTCTTTCTCCACTTATGAGTGATAACATGAGTTCCCTTATGTGTACACCTTATAAGTCTAGGAATATCATTTTCTGTGCTATATAGTTGTCTTCGTGTACTATTGTTTTCTGTCTTGTTGTGAATCAATAACAACTGCACGTAACTTGAAATGCTTTGGGAACAATCTTTTTATTTTGTTGGAAACTAGTACTGTTGAATTTCTCAGCATTAAGGGTCTGCTGGCCACTTCCAAAAAGTATTACAAAAGAGGGGAACAATCTAATTCTAAACTTATTGGATATACTATAGATGAACGGTCAATACAATGTTCGAGTTATTTAGAATACATTTTTTTTTTGAGAATATTTTCTAATGCATATTTCTGAAGGTTTATATATGATCCAAGAGTACTGGATGCTTTATTGGGAATTTACATTTTCATAGAACAATAAAATTGTCAAATATAAGTTCATTGGGCCTTTGACTACTTGTCACCATAATTTAGATAGGGTTGTGCTCCATATCACCATTTTCAACTAACTTAGAAGATGGAGGGAGCAGTTTTCTTTTGAAGATGGAGAAATCTGCAATCTGTTATTGTACCCATAACTTCATGCTTCAATGCTGTGTTATACTGCTGGTAACTTTACTATAATTAGTGAAGTAATTAGTGGGATGGACACAGTAGAAGGGAAGTTTGTGCTATGCTCTGTACTCACTATAAGGTATGCATTTACGTTGTGATATTAGGATGTATTTTCATTTCTTCCACTATTATTACAATTTAAGTTGAAGAAGACATACTTTACACTTCCGTATCTAAAAAAATTCTGTTTTTTCATGTCTTTACCGTCGACGTTAAAGAACTAACATTTTTAATCATCTCATTTACACTTGTGCTAAGTTTAAGTGACCTTAATTTGAAGTTAAAGAGTATTACTGGGTTCGTCGATCCTACTTAACTTGTGTTTTATTTATAAGACTGCTTTGTTTCATCTTTTCTCAAATTTGTCTGCCAACGATGAGAAGGAATAAGTATCAGGTATGGATAAATTTGTGGTGAACTGAATTGTATGCAGACTTACTGGATGATATCAAATACGCAATTCTAACATTCTTGTTCTTTTATTTTTAGGAATAAGAAGTACATTGCTTATTACCAAATGGCATAAGAGCAACCATTACTTGATTGTGCAACCTCTTGATCAATCATGAAAATGAATGATCATCTAGTTTGAAGAATAACTAGTCTTATGTAGTTTGAATACTTCACTCTTTTACCATAATAATATTTGGCAACAATTGTCTTCTTACGACTTGCTGCATTTATACTTCAAGGGGGTTTATTGATTCACAAGTACAAAAGTGCTAACAAGGATAATAGCAGAAATCCTTTGAGGATGGAATCAGATATCCGCCAGACTTTAGTGATTCACAAGTACAAAAGTGCTAACAACGATATATCTGCTTCGCTCCCTCTTTTGCCTTTTATGAAACTACTTCAACTCAGCTGTATGTCTCGTCTTTCCTGTTCTTCATTACATCCATAAGATTGAATCTGTATCTCATTCTTAGGATACCGTTCAACGCGTTCCTGAATTACTGACTGATTTCTGCTACTAAATACTTACTGGTTCGGTGGTCAGTTTAGCAGTTGAGAATTGACTGTTTTGCAGCTATTTTCCCCTTTTATACTCCTTCCTCAATCTCTCGTCTCTGTATTCGAAACAGGTTGAACATAAACTCTAGTTTGAACTTCTTTTTCTACAAGATATGTGACTATTTGGCATGATTTTTCAAGTTTTTATCTAAAATGGGTGACAATTTACAACCCTTCTTCTACCAATGGTATGAAATTCCTGGCGCATCATATCGTTACAAGGACTGATGTAGTTTGTATCATTTATATTTTTCTTTGAAAATTGGTTCATACTGAAATTTAACTTATTTTGTATTCATTTCATCTAATGAGCACTATTCTTTAATTGGCCAAATACATAGATAGCTAGCACCCAAAATTGTCTGAATTTTTCACTGAAGGCATGTCCTGTTAGCAACATTTACTTGTTTAAGTATGGCATTCGTTTAGGGTGTGTTTGGTATGAAGGAAAGTGTTATCCAAGAAAATATTTTTTCGGAAAACAAGTGGAGTTCTAACTTATTTTTTCATGTTTGGTTGGTGAGTAGAAAATATTTTTTAATGTTTGGTTGTTGAATGAATTTTTTTAAATATTTTCCATATTTTTTTTTTTTGATGGGAGTGCCCTGGGTTGGGGGTGGTGGGGGATGACGAAAAAAGATAAATTTAAAATAATTTTCAGAAATAATTTTTTTAAAAATAAAATAAAATTGACCAGGGGTGGGGTGGGGGTCAGGGTATGTGGTGAAGTAAAAATTGAAATTTTAAAAAATTGAAATATTTTTTCAAAACAATATTTTTTATGGGGGTGGGGAATAATGGTGGTGGGGGTTGGGTTAGGTAAAAAAATCTTAAATTTGAAATATTTTTTAAAAATAATTTTTTATTTTTTTAGTTTTTGGGGAGGGGGGATGGTTTGGGGTAGGAGTAAAAATAGATTTTATAATTAAGAAATAAGAAAATTTAAAAAAATTAATTTTTTTATGGGGATGGTCGGGTTTGGAGTACGGGGTAGGGTAAGAAAAAATACCTAATTACTAGACCAACCTGCTATAATAATTCCATAAACACCTAGCGAAGATATGGCAAACAAGTGAAAGCCGCCAAAAACTAGCGGAATGCTCTCGAAACCAATTCACTTGAGTGAGACAGAGGAGAGTGGAATTTCGTGTGTAGGGGTGAAATTCGGAGATCTACGAAGGAACGCCAAAAGCGAAGGCAGCTCTCTGGGTCCCTACCGACGCTGAGGTGCGAAAGCATGGGGAGCGAACAGGATTAGAATTGAGAAAATAATTCAAAAAATCTTGGTAAACACTGGATCTAAGTAGAGTTTTGGAAAATGTTTTTCTTAATTTTTGAAGAGAATTCATTTTCCTTAAATTTGAAGAAAATGAGTTGATTTAGAAAACATTTAAGCCAACCAAACAACATATTCAACTATAACATCCTCATCGAAACTCCTTTCAGTTTTGATTCAAAATTATAAAAAAATTGATATTCAAAATTCTTCTCTCAGTTCATCGAAGATACTTTCAATTTTGATTCAAATTTGTCGAAAAATTTGAGAAGATACATCATGAATATCTTCGTTAGTCTGTACTTGGAGGTGAAAACATGAGCCGATATTTGCAATGTATCTACTATGCATTGATACAACACACAAAAAGGCTGGAGAGATATTGTGTATTCGATTTTTTGATTTGTGATCTCGAGATATTGTGTAGTCGATTTTTTGTTAATAGTTATATCATTGGTTATTGTAATGTATCTGGTACTTGATTTTAGATCAATACATTATTGTGTGTTAGTCATTAAGTATCAGATACATGCAAGTTTAGTTGCCAAAAGAATGGATATTTAGTAGTATTTTGAATGAATGTATCATGGTCATTAATGTATATCAAATACATGTGATACACATTAACCATTAATATGTATCTGTATTGGTTGCCAATCTGAAGTTTTGACTTCTTCCGATAGTAGAAAATTACATCAATGCACTGCACAATGAATCATAAAAATTGAAATATAAAAGTTAAAAAGATGAATATCATAATTTGATACATAATAAAGTAGTCAACGTTACCACTGTTATCTATCATTTACCTATTATTGGAACTGATACATATTGCAATGACCCTTGCACGCGAGCTTAACTTGTAGAGTCATGATCAATTATTGTGTTGAATGCCTTGTGTGGTGAGGTTTACCTGAAATTTGTGCATGGTAATACCAAGAACTTGCCCCGATGGTCCAATCGACTAACTTTGGAGAATGAAGGAAATTATCTTAGGCATAGATTTTTTAGACTAAACCTAATTGCTATACTTTTTTATGACCACTTTGTGAGTATGTGAACCTAGCTTGGCACCATTTGAGCCTAACCTTTTCTTTTAGATGAAACATGAACACAAATGGCCTTGTCTTGCCCAACTAAAATCTTCGTAAAGCATTGGTTTGTTTGAATAGCCAACTTAGGCCAAAAGCCTAAGTTGGGGGTGTGGTAAGATTGAGGAAAGAAATCAAGCAATAAGTTCATGAAATTCATCCATGGGAACTTGTGTTGAAGAAAAAGATGGAATACAAAAGATGATTCGACCCATCGCCGAATGGATCACCGACCACAACTCAGCTCGCCTAGTCTTCCAGAATAATTGGATGCAGGAACCAAGCCAAAAGTTCAACAAGGTTTTCCAATCCAGGTATATGAGATTTTATCAATGAGTATTCTTTCACCTATTGAGTCCCAAAGTAAACTTATTTATTTAGTTCATGATTTCTATAAAATTTAGGGTTCTTATGAAAAATAATGTTTTCATAATATCTATGTTCTTCTTCATGGATAGTCTTTGACTACATGTTTTTACCTATAATGTAATATATTTGTATAGTTATTTTCATGATACAATCTTCACCTCGCTTTCATTTTCTTTTCCAACCTCTTTCTTTATTTGGAAATCCATTCTTCCTGATGCTTCAAATGTGTTACATCTTTTTTTTCCATTCTCTCTCTCTCTTAATTTTCAACTTCAGTTACTTCTTTTTTACTTATCTTTATATTTTCGGATCATGCCACACCCAATTTTGTTTTTCTATCATTGGCCTCTCTTTTTATACCCCATCTTACCTTTTCCAATATTTTTAGTATCCTCCCTCAACTTAGGAATTTTACCAAAGTTGAGGTAAATAATGTCCAATTAGGGACCATGACTAATGTAATAGTTTTAAGTTAAATAGAAAATGTGACTAGGACAACAAACAAAAAGTTTGCATACACAAAGAATGAATGATACATGAAATGTTCACATCTGCATGGCACATCACCTCACTATCAATTCCTGACTATCAAGTTTTGTGTACAACTTTAGCATAGTTGTCACATTCATGTGCATCCAATGTTATACAAAGATCCTCAATAGTCAATATAATCATAGATACATTCATGTGCATCCAATGTGATACAAAGATCCTCAATAGTCAATATAATCATAGATACATTCATTATATACAAAATTTAACATATATTGTCACTCTTAACTATTGCTGATATTTTTGGTTGTTTTACAAACACGACTCCACAACATATATTTAGACATACAACAAAAGACCTAGTTTAAACATGCTAGATAGCTCAACCGAGGGAAAACAAACCCGACAACAAAAACCCTCAGGTGGTGCGACAGACTCACAAGTTGCCCCACCCCACCCCTAAAAACATGCTTTGTCTGTAATGCATTAAAATACCTGTAATACTAGGAGTAGGGTATATCAGTGAAGCCCTAGGCTTTCAAGTTTGGAAATGATGCAGGGGCTTCTATATCTCCAAAAACATGAATAGTAGTCTCAGTGGTGGCTGACGAACACAATGAGATCTTGGGAGTCCCCCCACAGCTGGTGGTGTAGTTGAAAGACTCTGAGACTCCATCACAACTTCAACTTCACTAATCACGCCTACCTCTACTAGCACTAAACTGGAAGAAGCTCCACCTGCACGAGCTTTCAACTCAGCTCCTCAACAACCTTGGACCTCCTCTGAGCTTTCAATAGATCTTCTTGCTCCTGGTCTCTCTTCTTTAATTTTTTCCTTTTCTTATCTTTCTCATGAGCGCACTTGCCCGAGGCTTTGGAAGATAACTCAATAAGTTAATAAATTGCTCCTTCCCCTCCAATTCACCATCATGAGGTCACATCTCATGAGTCTATCGTGCCAAAACTACTAATGCTAAGAATGCTTCGCCCTGACTAGCTAGTCTGGGAAGGTAGATAAGTAAGAGGCGGATTTAGGGCTTCTTCAACTTCTTATTCATAGTTGAGATACTCCCAACCTCCACCAGCAAGCAACACCGGAGTTAATCGTAACGTTTCGATCTGGGGTCAGGAGCAGAGGTTGTAGTATCGTAGCCAATTCTCTTTGATCACCGTCACGAGATTTGACTATAACTAATCAATCTCTTGCTTTCATGGAGTTTGGAATCTTAATGCTATCAATATTCGGAATTGAGAACACCTCTATTGTCCTCTCTCGTAGATGTATGAGCTGAAAATTCCAAAGGTAAATTTTTTTTGCAGAGGAGTACTTAATGCAACATCTCCTGAGTTTAGGGGTGTGCATTCGGTTTTTCGGTATGGTTTTGCATATTCAGTTTGGATTTTTTGGTTTTTGGTTTTGTAAAAGTGTAACCCAATCCGATCCAAAATAAATTTGGTTTGGTTTGATTTTCCTCTATTCGGTTCTACTTTTTTCGGTTTGGTTATTCGGTTATGTCAATAATTACTAATATAACCAAAGTAATAATATTTAATCCCTTAAATATACTTTCTAATATAAATCATAAGTAAAACTTAAAACACAATACTTATAAGTATACCTATTATAGATATAATTCAAACATAAAATATAAACGTAATCATCATGAAAGGTAATAACCAAAAATGGACAAAAGTGGTTAACTCCAACTTAATTCTAAACCTAAACATTATATATATATATATATACATTTCGTTTTTTTTTGTTTTTATTTTTTAAAACCCAAAACCAAACTAAAAAACCGAATAAAGTAATTTATTAATCCAAAACCAATCCGAAAAACCAAAAAACCAATCCAAATAAAAATTTGGTTTGGTTATTCAATTTAATCCGAATAATGCACACCCCTACCTGAGTTCACACGTGTTGCATCATTTCGCAAGTTGACCTGTTGATTACCATATAACTCTCCTCCTTCTATTTGTGAGAGTGCCCCT